GCACGCGTATGTGTAACGAAGAAAACGAGTCCGCAGATGATTCTTTTGTTTTTACTCGCGGTTATACGAGTGAGTCACATTTTGCGCAAATAGCAACGATTGATTTTTCAAAGTCTTTATCGTTCGTGTCAACTATAGAATAATATCAAGGTGAATATAAAAAAAAAAAATTTTTGCTTCTTCGATCTCGGGGCTCGACGAAACGAATATTTCGAAACTATAATAACACGTAGTTATCGGTTTTTATATCGCAGATAAGAAATCGTTATTAATTCATGGCACATGGACTCGTACGACGCGTAGGTGGAAGTGCCACTTGAATTTTTTTACTCCAAGTGCGGATCATTTCGTTTCTCGCTAATTAAATAAACATGAAATATAAATTGGCCTCTGCTCTCTCTCTCTTTCTCTCTCGCTCTATTGGCGCATTGCACAATAGTCCGGCGTATGCATAAATCACCGCTTATAGTGGCAGAAATTTCTGGTGTCTACACACGACTGAATCGCGTCCGCGCACGGCTACATGAGCGGCCGTGATTGCATGCAATTTTTTAATGGATCGCTCGCTCGCAAAAGTGACTTTTTCAAGTGCTTATTATACAATCTCTCGTCGATGTATATCGATGTGTTATTTCATTATATACACAACTGTGTATTATAAACTTGTATAAATCAGTTGTCAATGTAGAAATCGCTTGTCAAAACACTTTTTTCACAAACTATTCAAACGAGGCCCATCAATGATTTTATCTTTTTTTTTGTATAAATCTAGTTTGGCAATTATAAGAACTGTATAATCTTATTATCTTTCAAATTTTAACTTGTCAAAAACGAATCTGTAAAAGAAAATTAACATTACGTAGCAACATCGTTGTTTCGTTCACGTGTATCATGTGCATTGATTTTATTTCAACGTGCCGTATATATGTGCCATTACGGCTGAAAACCAAAAGTACAAACGATCGAAAAGAGAGGCCAAGAGAAACTGGAACGAATTAATAATCCTTGCAGAGTCGAGACTAGTTGTGTACTATATACATGCATTGTGTGCCGCGTGGGTCATAATTCGAACTAGAAAAATAAAATCAGGTCGTCGGTTAATCGCGCACCGTATGCGCGACCTTTTAAATATAGAAGCAATAAAATGGGGGGGCCTCGACGAAGAGCGATTTGTATTGTTTATTTACCTCGGGGCTCGAATTCGTGCCGGGTCTTTAGCCGCCCACGCGTAAAACATGAGAAATCGTAAGCAATGTTTTTCCAACCAAAAATACACTACCACCTCTTCAGGCGCAGAAAAGAAAATTACCGCATTTGGTACGTAGTGGATTATTTTTTTCCTTTTTTCTCTCTATTTTTCCTTACCAAGAGTTACGAATGACATATATTATAGGAGTGAAAATCTTAGACGCATTTAAAACACACTGTAATAAGTAAAAGAATGCGTCGTGCTGGTTTTTACCGATGAAAAATTATGACATTGTTCTTGGTAAAAAGTTGCGCGAATAATGAAAAAATTTCCCGATGAGAAGGCATCTCTTTCTCGACGATGAAATACTCTGACGACTGACGCATAGGATTTTTATCTTGTTTTTGACACGCGTCTGCCTGCCGCCTGCTGCCGTTGCAAGAGTCGGTGTCAAACTGAAAGCTCGAGTCTTGTCGAGCGCATACCTCACAACTGATGACAGAGAAATGTCGTCGGCGTCGTAGATGCGCACTCGTCAAACTTGTTGTATCCTAAACTTTTTGATATTGGAAGTAAAGATGAGCCGAGTCTCGAGAAACTGCCTCGTTTCCCTGAACACACAAGTAGATATTTGTGTATACACCAACTAGCTTATCAAAGATCAATCAAGCGCAAAACGATGGCAGATAACGGATGATCGAACGAGCGATATGACAAGTAGCAGATCTTCTTTTCTTTTATCATCCTCTTCTAAGCATTATTAACATAACAATGAGCGATCGTTATCTTAATATATCACAAAGCGTTCCAGTGCTGTATTATGTTATAGTAGGCGCTCGCAGCATCACGCGGCGTTCTTACGACAGAGACTCGACTTTGAGAATATGCTTCTGATTCACGAAGGAAAAAAAAGTATACACACGCGTCTTCCATAACGAGGGTTTCTCCAATAGGTACACATTTATATCCCTCGGTAATGCATTTGAAAATACCTACTATATAAGCCGTTGCGTGTGAGTGTGTATGCGTGTATACACAAGAGCAGCGCCACGCGAGCGTTCTCTCGCTCTCTCACTTGCAATCCTAAAATAATCCCAACTTTAACAAAAGCCGCAGGGCAAAGCACTCTCCAAAAACATTCGTCTTCGTCTTTCTTGTTATTTTTTTACTTCTCTCTCTTTCTCACTCTCCAAGCAAGCGAGAGCTTTAAGAAGAGAAAAAAAAATTACAAGTACGCGAGCAGGCGCGAGAGTATATAAGCGCATCATATACGTGTGTATATGTGCGAGCTGCAACGATGACTCCGACCAAGAATAACGCAGCGGTGGTGACGGCGTCAGCGGTGTGCAGCTCGAGGTCCTTCGCGACTTGTGAATTCGTCATTATTATACCGAACGCACGCTCACACTTGGTGTGTGTGTTTGAGTTATATATATAAAACATTGAAGAGGCGCTCGCGCGAAAGGAGAAAAAGACGAACGATTCGATGATGGAGACTGAAAAACGGTACACATTGACGTATACGGAGCAGCTCCCCTTGCCATCGATCGTTTTGTTTTTCTGCAACACGACCGACGAAATCCAATACCATATGTAATTTCGTCGTTTCACGTAAAAACTGTCCTGAAAAATCTATACGGCAGCGATCGGAGAGAGGAAAAAAGAAAAGGGGAGAAGAGAAGAGCATCGGTATAGTAGGTAGGTTTATATTATACATCAGCGAGGCTGCACACGAAAGCGGAAGTCGGTGCCGGCCACTTGACAGAGAGTCAAAGTACATATATATGCCATTTATATAAGTACGCCTGCGTACGCGTACCAATGCGTTTAGAGCTGCACAGCAATCAAAGTAGTCTCTATAGACGTCGTATAAGGCGCATCGCAGGCATTTTTTTAAATCGTAGTTTTATGAATCGAAAGCCACAACCACCTTGCCCTTTTTCGAAATTCACGTATGATAAACAAAAATAATTGACGATGCCGAAGAACAAGAAGCCTCGATTACAGATAATTTTTCGTCCATCGAAAATCCAACGGCGAGTGTCGAGGAAAAATTTACTGTATCAGTAGGTCTTTTCACGAGGAAAAAAAGAATCTTTTTATAGGTTTAGGGCGGTGGATCGAGCGCGCATAATACATGTATTCGAAGTACAAGACATGACACATATATATGTAGAGGCTAACCAAGGCGGACCTCATACATAAAAGAAAGGCGAAAAAGAAAGAAGGGAACAATGGGATTCGTACTCCGTGCTCTCTGGTACAAACACACATACACGTATACACGAATGTATAGGAATATACGTACGGAGAGCGGAGCCGCAGCCGGGGCAGAGAGCGCTGGGCAACACAAACACATTTACAGAAGAGAGAGAGAGCGATACATACACGCGCCCGGAGTTTGATGTATATTACGGGGGCGAAAGAGCAAGCGAGAGTCGAGAAAGTGTGTATGGAGGAAAGAAGGACGGGAGAAGAGAGCACACGGCCGCGCGGACTGCCGAACGGCTCCGTGCAACGAAAGAAAACGAATGCCTTCTCTCTTTTTCAGCCGCTCGCTCGCTCGCGAGAGAGAGAGAAAGAGAGAAGAAAGAGATAATGTATATTGAGCGCAGTGCGTTTACGTGTAAATTTCGATGAATACGTCACTCTCCTTTTACTCCTTTTTTCTTCGCTATCTCTCGTATTCTCTCAGTTTTCGTATCCTTTGGCTCGGTAGGTATTCATTAACCTTCGCCCAGAAAGGGAGAGAGAGAGAGAGAAGGATGCGTATGTGCACAATGAATATAAGGTACGAATGAAACGTCGTCGATGTCGCGCGCGCGCGGCGTGGCGCGTGCTGCGTTCGTTGCACGCCTCCAAGCCTCGCCGACCATTATCTATCCATCCATCCGCGTGCACGTAGACTCGCACACACGCGCGGCGCACAGACTTTCGTTTATAGTCGTAGGTGTGTACCCAGCCCGCCGTCTGTTATTCTCTTCTCGGCAATAGCTGTCGCGCGTATTTAGGTTAGGAGATTTGTGCGAGCGACGACTCGATACGAGGTTTCTCCGAACGAGTCGCGCGCGTGCATTTTTCATGCCTACGCAACCCTACGTGTCACACGATTCAACGGGGGGTAGAAAACTTTGCTTCGTTATTACATGTAGCACGTATATACGTGCGTGTATGTACGGCCAAGTGTAAACGCCAAACAACGAAAGAGAGAAAGAGAGAGAGAAGGAGAAAGACAGAGAGAGAGAGAGAGCGAAACTGCTCCGGATCGATCCTATGGAGCAGCCGCGCGCACGCACTCTCCGATTCTGCTCCATGTCATCTACCTCCGTCCGCCTCTTTCTCGTGAGCCTCACTCACTCTGATACGCCTCCCATATAAACATGCATACACGCATTTTGCACACATTTATACGTGCACATGCACGAGCACTTTGTTTATTTACCCACACAGCGAAAGACCCATTACGATATACGGGGTATTAAATCGACGCGTCACAGTCGGACGGCAGCAGGCAGCAGATGCGGGGCCTGACAACGAGATCTGTGAATGCCGGCTGCCGTTGCCGCTTCCGATGCGTGAATAGCTAACGGCGTTAAAAGACAAAGTTTTCACGGAGGATCGTCGGCGTTGGTGTGCCGCGACCGGTGTCGTCCGTGCAGCGCACAGAACATGGGTGTGCGTATAAGCAGCCATCGTGTGTCTGTGTGCATCAGGGCACAGACGGAGGTGGAAATGGGTGTGTGATTGAGCGAAAGGTATACATAGGTATAGCGCACGTTTAATAGGTGTTGAATGTGCAGTAGGTACTCACGTCATGTTGGCGGCTAAGGATAGCGAGTGCTATGCTCTCAGGCACTTATCGACGCCGCTCTTCTTGCCGAGTTTTTTGCTCCTTTTGTGCTGCTGATGCTCGTCGTTGCTGCTGCTGCTGCTGTTGTTGCCACTGGCGCTTGCAGAAACAAAGCCGTCGCCGATCCCATTAAGATCCGGGCAGGACTTGCGATGATCGGACATCAACCGTGAATGTTGAGGCTGGCACTGTATATGTGTTAGTATATGTATTACGATATACAAAGGGTCACTCTGCTTTGGTACAAATGTACTCTCGCTGTATGACTCTCTCTCTCTCTCGCTCAGCTGCTGCTGCTCCTTCCTTTGGCAGCCTTCGAGATAGGTGTATGCCCGAGACTCCGAGACACGCGCGCGCGCGTGTATGTGTTTATATGCTTCGAGACTGATATCTCTGTGTGTATGCGTGTATGTATGTGTGTGTGTGTGTACACTCGCGCACTCTCACTATCGTATTATTGTATACCGTGGCAGTGTTGCTCGGCACCGCCGCCGTTTAAATCCTTTATATCGTGCACTCGACACGGTGGAAAAAACTGCACACTCGCGCGGAACTCGGACGACTATATACTCGTTCGTGGAAAGCACGCGACCAACACTGACGACGCACCGACGAGCTCCTCCGCTCCTCGATCATACACACATATATTCTGCGTACGCGCGCGGAGTCGACTGCTGCCGTTGCTGCGGCGAGAGACAACTTATGTGTTGTACGGCGATCGACGACGACGACGACGACGACGACGAGCAGCAGCAGGAGGAGGAGGCAGCAACGCAGGCAACGCAACAGTAGTCCAAGTCGTAACACACATCTGCCCCCTTAGAATTTCTCGGAGACGTCGCCGCGCGGCCGATGTATTGCCTGCTGCTAGCTGCGTATGTGTATATAAGAGTGTGTTTTGTACACTTATACACAGCAGCAGCGCCGCACAGAGAGCACTGCACAAGCCGAAGCGAGGGTGTATATTACTGCTGCTGCTGCTGCGGCAGCCTATACGTGCCTTTTTGTCGAGTACAAATGCACTCGCGATATACAAATGCCGACACTATGACTGTTAGCCTTCAGCCGTATCGGCGCTCTGGGCAGCTATTCGAATCCTCGAACTCGCACTTTCGGTTGCAGATTACGCGTCGCGATGATGCAGGATCGCAAAAGGAGCAAAATTTTCTCGTTGTCAGTACAGGAGCCACTGCATACGACGTAACGATATAAAGTAGTAGCCGAGCGAGCGAGAGAAAGGCGTGTGTGTGTTGCGATGCACCAAGCACGGCAAAGTGCGCCCCTGCGCTGCCAATTTATGAATATACGTACTCGTTGTATACGTATATGTATACAAAGTTCAATGCACAAATCGAGCTATCGCCGCCGCGCGAACGAGCGAACGAGCCGAGTTATTATATATCTGCCGTTCGTAGTAGTAGCGTGCAACGGACTGACTAAGCTGCTCCTGGTGTGTGCCGGGTGTGCACAGTCTCGCGCAATGTATATACATGTATTGTATGTATATACACGTAAATTGCGGCAACACAGCCGGAGTCGAGCTGCCTAGAGCTGTTGCCGCCACCACCACCACCTCCGCCTTATACACACACTGTCTGCACCCAGCATATAATATAGCATATATATAATTCGCACGTGTGTTAGTACACCGTATTCAGTGTGTATACATATATATATGCGTGCGTATACGAGGCGGAACCTACACGACGCTGTTTCGCCTGCAATGTGTCTGTTTGTATGCGAGAGAGTGAATCGGATCGAGTCGCGAGCGGGCCGAGGCTGCGCTTTCTACCATCGGGCGACATCTAACCGCCAATGCCGCAAGTGGAGTGACCGACGAGCGAAGACCATTATTCCGCGAACTCAAGGAGCTAAAGCTCCGAGACGCCTTCTGAATTCTTTGAGCTGCAGTTTTATTTGACGCTATTAAAAAAAAAAGCTGATGAAATGTAAGTTTTACCGTGTCCTACATATTTGACTCATACCGTTGATCAATGAATTCGTGTGATTATTTACATTTCACGATGTAAGCAGGTGGGAGCGGCGAAGCAATGCGGCAAACAAATCTCGACGTCTTTTGTTTACATATTTGTTGCATGTAAGTATAAGCATTTCGTTAACAAAGCAATCGAGAATTCTCGTTTGATATCTACCTACAAATGCGTTGAAAAGAAATCGATCATTTATAAATAATTTCCTGGAAACTTGTTCGATATTTTTAACATCGATGTCCTATTAATAAGGAGGCGCATATGCCCAATAAAAGTAGCAAATACTCGATACAAATCATTATTAAAATCGCACGGCAGAGGTAAAAATATTCGTTTTTTAATCTCTAATATCGTTATTGAGCTTCGTAACGAGTTTCCGATTATTTTTGAGATGAGATTGGGGTGACTAAAATAAACTGTAATGTTTTTTCTATAATCTTAACGAGATGCCGGTAAGGTCACAGTCTATAATCGTACACGGTACATATCGCCTGCAAGCACCGGAATGGTCCGAAGAGTAAATTTACTCTGCGCGCAGTTCACCGTGGTGTGTGAGGCGTAAGCCTGTACGTATACTACAGCTGCGGCGACCCATCGCATCTCGGATAAACTCTTGCGTGTTACACCATTTTTATCAATAAAACAACTCGGTTTAAAGACGCGTAAACGCAGTGAATAACGTGCATAAGTTCAAGAGCATTCAAACGATTACATATCATAGATATTTCTCCGTTCTCGAGTGTTACTGAATCGATCCAAAGACGAACGGTAGGTAGTGCTTTATTTACATTGAGTTCGAGGCGGCCGCACAATCTACATCTCTTGAAAAATAATTTTCTCTTTGCAGAAATGGAGCTAGCGAGAAATTTTTGGAGCAAATCTTTGTTCGCGTACAAATCCAGTGTTCGATCGTCGTTTAAAAATAGGTAAAGCACGTGTTTCTTATCTAACCTATGCATAAGTTTTAAAGAATTTTGACCTTTTGAGTATAAATTTCATTTATAATAAATTATTGTTGAACACAATTTTCAAATAATAAATTACATTTTTGTCCATTTTAAAAAAATGTTCAAAATTTTTCTCATTCATTTATTTTTACAGTTTAAACAAATTCTCTTCCTCTCCTGAGACTCACACAACACCTAAAGTAGCTGATTTAGAAGATAAAATAACAGATGAAAAGATTCACAATGCATTGGGTGCAACAAATGAGTTAACTTGCTATTTAGGTTTAGCAAGAGAGTTTGCCAATGAAAGTAAAGAAGAGCACCCTTATAAAGACAAATTGAAAAGAGTTCAAATGATTCTTTTTGACTTACACTACTCAATTTTGAGATCTACACCTGGTGAGAAAAAATTGTTTGAGAATCGTCATACAAAAGATCTTGAAGAATGGATTCAAGAATACTCAAAACAACTTCCACCTCCTGAAGATTATATTGTTCCAGTAAATTTTTTATTAATTTATTTAAAAAAAAACTAAAATTAAATGAATTTCAAAAATTAATTATTACATTCTCTTTTCAGGGAGGTGGTAAAGCTTGTGCATCATTGCATATCGCAAGATCAATCTGTAAAAGAGCAGAACACAGCGTAATACCTTTGGTAAACAATGGTATTTTAGATAAAAAAGCCCAAGATTACTTAAAGTGTTTAGCAGAATTTCTTTTAACTACATCTCGAATTGCTGCTAAATGTGACAAACGAACAGAAAATATTTATATACCTAGTGCAGAAGTTACTAAAGAAAAGTAATTCAATTATTATAAAAGATTTCATTGTGCTATTAATTTTTCAATTGTAACGATTATTGTTGTCAATTTGAGTTTGTCAAATGACTATTTTTGGTGCAATGAAATAGCAAAGAAATTGTTAGTCATTAGTTTTTCATAAATTGCACTTACAGTGCACTTAGAACTAAAAAAAGATTGTAAATATGGACAATGGATGATTCTCAGTACTTTTTATTATTTATCATATGTGCAAGACTTATATATCACTGACGATTTATAAACATTAATCTGTACATGTATATTTTTTGTAAGTAAATGTTAATTTAATGTAAATATACCTTTTATAAAAATATATTTTAATTAAGTTAAAACATAATTAGTTCATTTTTAATTACTTATAAAACATTGAAATTAGAAAAAAACTAAAATTCATTTTACATATCTCGAAACAATTTGATAAATTACTCTAGAACTTCATCACCTTCTGTAATTTCTTTCAAACTCAACAGTTCAATGAAACCAGAGCCTTTGGTTTCTGATCTTACTATTTCATCAATTGCTCTATAGTGACCTGGATCAATTAGACATACCATGTCTAATGTTCCACTATTCCAGTCTTCATTTTCGATTGTTGCAATTAACTTCACTAATTTTTCCCTTATTTTACGAGCTTCTTTTCCAGAAATTGACATTTTTAGTCTCATCTGTGCTCTTTCTAATGGCATCACATTTTTCAATTGCGGAATGAGTTCTAAAGCTTGTTGTTTTGCATTACGATTTGGTTTCACTGAAAAATGCACATCTTTCATAGCTTTTTCAATTAATGATACAGAATATGGACGTTTACTATCAGGATTTACACATTTGTCTGCGACTGTAGTAGCAATATCTTTGAACATGGCATCTAATGCTGAATGTCTCTCTTTATCTGAAACTTGTAATTCACCTTTAGCTAAAATGTCTTTGCAAATTTCAGTTTGGTCATCTTTCCCAAAAGCCTTGATAAGATCTTCTTTTTTGGCTACTTGTCCTTTGGATACATTTGTGAAAACAGTATGTGTTTGTAACACCTCATCAATATCTTTTTCTCTAAAAAATAAAAAAAAATATTAAGTAACCTAGAAATTTAATGTTTTATATAAAACAACTCATGAAGTGAATATTTAATTTACATATTATTGCGCCAAGAAACAACTTTATTCCTGTAACAAGCAATTTCGAATCTTTTCCCTGCTTTTTTCATCCGCACTATCGCCACATTTGTGAGTCTTATTTGATTTGTTGGAGTGAATATTTTCGACATTTTTATTTGATTCAATAAAAACAGAAAGGTTTAAATATACTGTATATTTTAAAGATTAATATAACTATTGATAGACACTTAGAGTCTGTGATATCCAACACGTGCTTGCTGACACTTTCGATAAACAGATTGAGTTAGACTGTAGGGTTCCTTTCTTATTGTGATGTTATAGCGCAGTTGTCTGCACTGATGTTACGACTTCGACCACTAGATAGAGCTACTAGTATCTTCATAAAAAAACTTTAAATTGATCAAAATTAAACAAAAATAAAGCATCTTCTATATTTTTGGTATAAAAATTTTTTTTTATTTATAAAAATATGTTTGTGTATAAATATATTCATGTAGTTTCTAAATTTTTCAAAGTTTACATAAAAAATCGAATTTGTAAAATCTAAAAGAATAATTTTTCTAAAATTAAGTAAGAAGTTTCACTTTCAGCAAAATAATTAAACTATAAAAAAATAAAGATTATAAATTATCGCCAAGTTCCTCTCCATTGTTTCACAGGCAACATATTTGATTTGACTATCCAATCTGAAATAAAGCAGATATTCATAGTTTGTTTATCTTCAAAATTATTATCAATTATGTAGTTAAAGCCTTTACCGCTTTCATTCAAAACTTTAGAAAATGAATTATATTCTTGTAAAGCTATTTGATCCAGAGCTAAGACTAATTCGCCAGGAAGTACTAGTTCATCATCATTTAATCTAGTTGCAATTTCCTGTACCTTGTTATGATTTACATATGATGATCCACTCCACTGCATTTTTGTTAAAGCTTCCTGTGAAAATAAATATAAATAAAAATTTGATGCAAAATGAGTAACTACAAATGGTATTTTATATAAACATACACATCGCAGATTTTTTATTTGACATATCATTAAAGCATAAATACAAGAATGAAAATATGCTTTTAAAATGTCTGTATCATTTACATCTTCTGTGAGAATAATGTAAATCTTTCTAGTTTTCAAATTAACTACAGGTAAAAATTTTCTGGTTTGGAAAAGATTCAGTAAACACCAAACATCTTGTGACTGAATTAAACCCCATTGAAGAACTTGCTGTAAAGAGCCACCTATTTCTATATTAAAACCAAAAATTTTTTTGGCTGAAATTGAATGAAAATATAAAATTATTATTTAGATAAAAGTATCTTAAAACATTTTAAACATTTCCTTATAACTTACAAGGTTTTTCTAAAAATAAAAAGACAGATTCCCTTTTATTGATATCTTCAACCCTTGATATTGATTGATCAACTAAAAAATCTTCAATCACCAAACATAAACGATCTTCATTCAAGGTATTAATTTCAAGCGATGTTACTCCATAGTAATTTGAAATAACGTGTACTATGACTAGGATGAAACATAGGTATATAAAAAGTCTAAAATCAAGTAAAAATATATAAAATAATGTAAATTAAAATTTGTTATATTTGTAAGTATGAGTAAGCAACTTGCTTTTCAGGAACAACTAATAGAATTAAAATGCCAACAATTGAACCGGCTAAATTGACCAGAGTTCCTTGACTATGTTCTTTAGCAGAGACATCTGCCATATTATCTTTGATGGCCTAAGTCAAAAACAAAAATAATCCGTTAAAATATATCTTACTAAAATAAAGTACAAGTAATTCAATATATATTTACATGATGTTGCATTATGGCTACTCTTGTTGCTCCACCAGCGATACCAACTATTGCTTTCATACCCGTAGTTAAACATAAGGTATACAAAGAATAAGAAAGAAACGAAGACGATAAGTATGGTAACATAACTTCTATTGACATTGCAACGTCATTTAAAATATCTGCAAAAAGTCTCCATTTCTTACACTGACTATCTAAATTGTTCCTGAAATGGTAAATTTTAAATATGACGTTGAAAATTATAACTTTTATATGAAAGTATAAAAATGTTTACCCTTGCCACCAAGCAAATATTATCCTCCCAATCATCCCTGTTCCATCTTTCATAATCCATGTAATTGCAGCTGCCAAAGGAGTTGCTGAAGACTCACCCACTCCAACACCTCTCATAATCGAATGAGTTGTTAGAGTCCCATTGATGGTACTTGCAAAGGCCTTTACAAACATATATAAATTTTACTCGTTTTCATGTTTTCATTTAATTATGTTAAAATAATAAAATCCATACCTGCAAAGTGTCCCAAATTTGATAAGCAACATAGTCTTTGTGAACAGACTCAGGAAAGCCTTGAGGTAGAAAGACATTCTTGAAGAAAGAAAACGTTAAAGATTCTCCAAACTTTTGTCCTCTCGCTGGCTTCAAAGTACTCACGACCGCCGGGATGTCTATAGTATTCAACAGTACAATAAAAGTGATTAAGGTTATAGGAAAATACTTCAATCATTTGTGGCTCGAAACAAAAAAGGCAAAGACTACTGACCATTAGCTTTGTAGAAAAAAATCTCATGTCGATCGAAGCCATCGTTTTCTATGTACTCGATGTCTCGATTCAACATCGCGACTCCGTGCTCTGTGCAACATCAGAGCAGTTTCTTGAAGGGCAATATCGAGTCACTGGTGTTGGTGTTGTCTGCAGCGATCGAGTGCACAAATTGCAATTATCTTACGCGCAGTCGAGTCCGCTCTTCGCAATGACCAACAAACAACTAGCAGAAGTCGCCAAAGTGACGCAGGTAAAGCATGTATCGTTGTGTGGCATATATATTGTGCATGTGATCGTTGCGCTTCGTAAGGCTTCTCTATGCTCTCTCGGCTTGCACGAAAATGAATTTATGAAAAATCCGCGATACGATTATTATTCGCCGTGGCCGTCAAAAATTGCCAGCTCGTAGCGACATTTTCTAGTTCTGTTCTGATTTTATAATATTAATAGCAGTCAAGACACTATACACGTCCGGTTAATTTTTAAATGAAGAGTTCTTTTTTGCGCAAATCATCATTTTTCTTTTCCTTTTCCAAACAAGCTGGGGACTTTTCGAATCGCGCGATATGGAGCTTTGAGAATGGCTGTTTTCGATACTCTAAAATTGAACGGTGTTTGGCTATTTGATTTTTGAGGTGGAGTTGATTCTTCGACTTTTGAAGCTTCGTATCGAATATTTTTTTCTTCGTTTATATTTACAGATTTTTTAGGTCTCGTCAGAATTCGAAATTTTTCACTCAGTCTGTCTTTTTTAGGACTTTTCGAAGTTTCGTCGGGTTTCATAAGGTCTGTAGAGATTTCAACAAGTTTCTCAATGACTTCAAAATTTTCATGTTTGGTATCGACTTTTTCTTTGTTTTCCTTTGGTACAATTTTCTTTTGAATAAACTCGAAGATAACATTTTTCTTACTCTTGGAAGGCTGACTTTGAAATTCGTCTGAAATTGGTGTAATTTTATTGAGTACGTTCTGCATAGTGTTGTTAATTAATTTTTCAAATTACTTTTCAAAACATCATCGGTCGTTTGACTAACGGTGTTTTCAGAATTTTCGTTCTTTTGTTCTGAATTTTCCAATTTGGAAGTGGATTTGTTCTTACTCTCGTTAAATAGTCTGTGATAAAATCCAATAAAAAAATAAATAAATCGGTTCAAAAGCACACGAAGGTGACATAATGCTCATAATAGTGTCGTTATTATGACATTAAACCTATCATTGAAGGTTCTTCTTTTTACAGGTCCCAGGATGGAATGACTGCGTGGCTCGAAGCATCTCAGAATTAATTGGCAATTTTCCATTGGCATACCGATCGGTCTCTCGTACTGAACTCCTCTCGAGATATGCTTCTTTCGAATCTTGTATGATCCTTCGCTGGCCCTAAAAATCATTTCGTACAAATAAAATCAATTATTGACTTGTACAAAAATTATAAATCTGGGTGAGCATTGATTTCGGGAAATTATTTTTATTTCATTAGTGAATTCTGCTGACCTTGTCCAAACGATCATAGTTTAATAGTTAATTGTATTATATACTGGGTTCTTAAGCGAGATTACATGATTAGTAAATAAAAGGTACACACGCGAGCCGGTTATTAGGGAGACAACCATTTGTCACCCTTAACTCTTGCAGTTGAATCTGTTTTCAACCGAGTGAGAAAAAGATTTAATAATGAAGAGACCCGGTTGCGATGATCGTTTTCTTTTTTCAAAATGTATCTTTTTCTTCATTTTGGAATTAAAAAAAAATTAACCCGATTGTTTGCACAATCTCTAATAAAAAATTCTATGGACGAGTAACATACATGGCATGAGTATAGTGACATTAACGGAAAACGCGCTTTTTCATCCTCAAAATTTTCATGGTTTACACGTTTTCCGATGCTTAATTCTAGCAACTCGATATACAGATAAAATGGTTAATACACGCGTAGTCAAAATGGAAAAATTTCATTCGCGATTTTAGCTTAAATTTCAAAGGGTTTAAAGTAATATCTCATATATGCTACATTGATGTGAAAACTGATAATATATTTGCGCGGCTATTGATCGTACTCGTACCCCCTGATTCTCAAATTGAAGTATAATAAATGAAATATACATTTCAAGAATACGTATCAGATAAATGTTGTTGTGAATTTCGGGTCGGGCGGGCATTAGCTGGGTAAATTTTTTTTCCATTTATACACGAGCGATACTATCAAAGGTATTATAGGTGACAGGACAAAGCCCAGATGAGAAAATATAAGCCGTGTGAAAAATGCCTTGATTCGTGCCGCATTCCAGCGCTGTGTACTCGAAGCACATGTGTACAATATACAACACATGTGTATATGAAAATTGCTCGGCTGCTGCAGCCTTCCGGGACTCGGTGTGATGCTCTTGCTTTCCTTTTGCAGGAATTGCTTATGTATATTTTGTAGCTATACTTATGCACCTGCACTGTGACCTTTTTCACTTATAACGATCATGAGATGCTTTATTATCCACTCGCGCACGCATCTCGTGCGACGTGTCTTTGATAGTTTAAGAGTTTGTATGCGTGTTACACATAATATAGCGCGCGCGTGTGTGTGCTTCTGCAATATTTATTATTTTTTCTTTTTTTTTTATCACTTTACCGGTACCAAGTCAGTCGCGTGTTTAATCTTTCATAATACGGTACATCCAGAGCATAATAATGCGCGTACGTATATAGAATTTTGTGTGCGCGTAGTGTCGAGACACGTTATACTCGTGCGACTTGCTGGAATACATAAAGATTTCGCTTTATTTTGTTGATATTACATAATAAAAGCAAAAGAAGCTCACGATAGCGAATACGCAGTCGTTTACGTGGAAAAGAATTAAATCTAATTGAAATATAATTAATCCCCTGGGGAACGGATTCTCCACCTTTCGCGAGTCGATGCGGAATCTGCACACGGGGTCAAACATCCGTTTTTTTTATACCAGGTATATTTATACGAGCTAGTATACTTTCCATATCGAACAAAAGCTACGAGCGAGATTGCGCGGGATATCTGTCATGTAAAAAAAGACGCCTGATATACATACCGATTTTGTTATATTTATAGGAAGTTAGTTTACAAGTGAGATCGGTACGTATGTATAGTAAGTCGAGATTGCCACACGCGCACGACCTCATGAGTTGTAAGTGACTTTGCTTGGATACAATGTAATCAAGAGTCTATTCTGCGCTCATAAATGCGCGTTCCACATATAATAAAACGCGAAAGATGCGCTTCTATATACCTGTCGCATTCCAACGAGAAGAAATATACATTAATCAAGTGCATTTTATATCACAGTTGTCTCGTCAGTTCTCTCTCTCTCTTTCTCTCTTTGACGTGCACGCGCTCTTTCTTTCAGCATTATTGTCTAATTTAACAAATACATATGCAAGACATTATTTTTGTAATTCGTGCATCGAGGCAATAATGAAACAAGTTACACATTAAAGGTCAAATATAATTGACAATGACCTTGCAAAGCGGCAACGACGTTCAAGCAAATAAGGAGAAAAAGATTTGCCGGCGATTAATCTTACTGCGGATGCGAATGTGAGTCTAGTTGCGACGACGACGACGACGATCCAGCAGCTGTTGCCTCTTTTGTGCTCGCATAACGATCGCTCCCAGTGGCTTTTCTGACACTGCTCGCCGGTCTGATCGTCGTAGCGCGAGTGCCGTTGTTGTTGTCGCTGCCGCTGTCGACCTCACCATCGCCTTTTATCGCGCGAATTTCTCGCTGCAACTTGGCAATTTTGCTCATGAGTTTTACTAACTCCACTTCGGCATAATCTATACTTATCGATGAGTCGTTATCCATTCGAGTACAGAGACCGCGCACAAATAGCGCGGACTATCATTTCGACAATTTTAAGGTTAATCAATAATTCAGCACTACTTCTAACCTACGACTAATTCAAAAGTTTTGACTTTAAAAATCGTATTTTGCTTTTTTCATAATTTCTAACAACGAAATATCGATCGTAAAATGTCAGGATCACCAGTAACTTTCTCTTTTCGGTTTCATGCCATACTAAAAGCTTCAGATAATATAACTACTTTATATATTATTAACCAGTAGTAGAAATTGTAATATAATTCAGTTTTCAAAAAGATTTAATTTTTAAGCTACGTTTGTAGTAATGATTTCTAGAACTGGGATAAAAGTACGCTCTCTCGCTTACTCGTACATGAAAGTACATCTAACTATCCGTACAAACATTCTGGTTCAATGATACAGCACTGGTAATATTAATGTTAGCAAACAATCCCATACCTACTGATTAGTGACACTGGTGCAATACTGGCTATCGTCGTTGCACTTATATTAAATCAGGAGGCAAATTTTAGTACTAATAATCAATATTTGACAATTAGTGTTTGATGTTTATTAAATTTAATAAAAAAAGGAGACATGTAATTTTTGTATAATCTTATTTATTCGTTTTAATTAGCTTTAATGAACACATATCATCTTATGGATAAAAATGAACTTTGTTTAGGTATTTTAATTGTTAAATTTGTCAGTAAAAAATGTTTTGATAAGAAATTATCGGATCTCACGTACTTACATTGAGACAATAATTTTTTGAAGCGTTAACGGTCATAAGTATTAAAATTAAATGCTTTATGACGTTTTAATACAACAATAATGCAATATTTATGACCTTAAGTGAGATCCAACAACTTCTTAACATAACATGTAATATTTTCAAGGACAAGTTATCTAAAAAAGTTACCCAAATAGTTTGAAGATAAAAAGTTACCCAAATAGTTTGAAGATAAAAAGTTAGTATTTTATGCTCTTTATTTATTTATTTTTTTATTATTTCAACATATTTGCTTTGTCCATGACTTAAGGGGACATTCCCATTGCAAATTGTAGAAAAAATCACTTTTTAAATTTTTTTTTTTTTTTGGAAACTATAATTTTTAATCATTCCGGACCCTTTGGGTATTGTTTCTTACATATAAAACTACAAAAATTTTATGCAATAGTAGGCAAAAAATACGTTCATTTAAATGAAGCGTTTTACCGCACACCCGTGTCCTAAATAAAGCATTTTACCGCACACAAGTGTCCAAAAACGCTTTTTGCGCACTAAAAAATGTGTGAAAAAAGACATTTTTCTTTATACTATTGCATAAAATTTTGTATGCAACACGTGCCCAGCTTTTTGCGCACAGTGTGCGGAAAAAACACTCACTTTTGCCGGCGTAGCCGGCACTCGTGTCTTTTTCCGCACACTCGTGCCCAAAACCGCCTTTTGGGCACTTGTTACACAAATAACTATTTCGTCATACTATTGCATAAAAAAAATTTTTTATGGGACTTAAGACCCATTTTGTTGGCTGTAGACGGAATTTGCTGAAATCCGTGTTTCGGCTCTTGGCAGCGATTGAGAAAAAACTACTGGTCCGATCTTTAAGTTTAACGTCTCGTTTTGATCGTTACAACATTCAATTTCACTGTCCCAATATTAAGAAAACTCGGTCCACATACATACATACATCCACACACATCGATAGATAGGCAGACGGACACACATCAGTCACAAATTCGACCTAGTTTATGCATATATATTCGACATATGAGCCACAACAATTGACAAAAGTCCATTTTAGACCCATCACAAAGCTTGCTCTATAAGGGAGTAAAAAGGTTACAGTCATCACATCGGGAAAGGTAATTGGAATCGTAGGCTACTCTGAGCAGGGACTTCAGCATACTTTTCTTCATTTTCCATTATTTTTGTTTATTCATTGCAAATCTTTTGATTGAGAGTGACCTGTAAGTTCGTTCATTTCGTTCGTTCGTTCAAGGTGCGAGTATTTCCATAAATGTTTTATTTAGTTTCTTCTACGCGAAAAAATAAAGCAGCCTAAGCCGCACTCACAGTCTGAACTTACTAATAACACGAAGATTATTTTTGAGAGATTAGGTCGAAAAATCTTTTAACACTAAAATTAATTTTTATTGAAAAAATCGATTAAACAAATGTTGAACGCCATCAAAAAAACTGACTGCTTAGTATGCAAATGAATAATCAGATACTTAAAAACGGCAGTTGAAAGAAAAAGTTCAACAGCAATTAAAAAAAATTTTAATTCAAGTAAATTAATCAATTCAAATTAAAAACATTAAAAATGAATGAAAAACTAAGTAAAAAGTGTAACGAAAATATTATTCGTTATACTCTCTCCCGATAATTGTTATTAATTTTAAATAATTATAAATACTATGTCAAATATGTATTTCATTTTCAGCACGACTGATCGTCAACCGACGAGTCGCGGCGCCGTTGGTGTGCGACGAGAGGGGAGAGAGAAATAATTTCGGGGCTCGCGCCTAGGATATATAAGCCGGCGAGCTGAGACTATTACTGGCTTTGCTACCGATTTCGATACCGATTATAATGGAAAAGACTTTAATATTCTGTGTTAATATTTTTAAATTGAATTTTTTAGTTTTTTTACTTCAAATATTTGATAAGCTATTACACAAATACTAACTTTTTTGGGTTTACAACAGCGTCATCTTACACCCAATATTTATTTACGTACTTTTATAGGTGCAGATATTAGGTCCCCATCATGCCCACAAGCACACAATCTCCCTGCCCCAAATATACTAAAATATGTACATTAAGGACTTAGGGAAGTAAAAAAGTAACATGTCTAAGATCAAAAGTAAATTGACTTACGTCTGATCTCAGACATTATTTTTTTATCTGCAAAAAATTTAAATATTTTGAAAAACAATCGATTTCTATATAAAATAAAAAATACATTTTTCTTTATCCCATTCTCGAAAGTACGAAAATTCATGTTTGAATGTGGGAAAAAAGTAAGACTTGTTTCCTCTGTCAAAGTTGCGCGGAAGTATGCGAAAGTATTTCCATGACAGCGGTAACCAATATTTTAATATTCGTTTGATTTTAACTACAAAGTGAAAAAAGTTTGTGAATAATAATGTTGATTTATTTGATGGCATTGATAATATAAATAAATACTATTCCGTCAATTATAAAAATTGGAGTTTTGATTCCGTAATTTGACTTTACTTACTCAGTTCGTTCTTGTCAATTTCAGGTCGTAAAGTATAATTAACAGGGACTTTTTCGGTAATAAAATATTCAAATATTAGTTAAAAATGAACTATGCAAGTACTGAAAAATTATGGTTCATTATAATATATTTTAAAAATTCTTTACAATCATAACGTTTATTACTCAGTCACTCACTTTTTCCCTCGATCTCTCATTCAAATTAAGAAAACTACTTTATTGAAATTTTTGAAAACTACTTTTTTTATCTAGATAAATGTCTACTCTTGGATAAATATAAATATACGTATCAATTATCCATTCCATTTCATTCTTTAACTTACCAAACGTACTTTCGAACAGGCATAAAGAAAAATTGTTCATAGCGACGCGGGTCCAAAGTTGAAGTTCTGTCTCTGCGAGTATGCTCCCATTGCTTCACTTTAATACATGCTGATAACCCTTTTCTTATGAATAATTAGCACCGATAGCAAAAAAGTATACTTTGAATAGCTTACTCTTGTACACAAGTGACAATTTTTTGAATATCGCTGGCAAAGATTTTTTATGAAATATTAGCGGTAGAAAAGAAATTTGCACGAATAATACTTTTTTCGAAAGTACCATTTGCGCTCAAGCAAATTTGACGTTGGCAACACTTCTGAAAAGTATAAGGTGGACAGATTGTACTTTATAGTGCTAAAAATTACTTTTTGGGAATTAAGCGCAGAGGCAGAAGTTCGACTTTAGTCACTGGTCTCGATGTACTAATTTTTATTAACTTATTATTAGATCAATGTAAAAATTTAACACTGAGTTTTATTTTCTACAGAAGTAGTCTATACTACTATTAAATTTTAAAAGTTACATATTAATAAAAATATTATCATTTAAAAAAACCTTTATAAATAACAATTTACTTTTGCTTGAAACGGTACTATAACTGCGTATGTATTTTCCAATTTTCTATAAAAATGGGGCCACAGTTTGGAAATTCACACGCAATATGTGTAGATATATCGCACATTTTTCCAAGCAGAAAATTCATTGAATCAGCTGATTCCATTACTTAAAATTGAATATCTGCAATAAAGATAATAAGTTATCTACTTATAAATATGCATGAATCATACGAATAAAAATAAAACCTACCAACAGTTTCAAAGGGCCCCGCTGTCGTTGCTCAATTCAAATTCATTTTGTAAATTCCAAAACATTATCCGGGTTCGTTGAAAGGAGCATTTTTTGCTTTCCTGATTTTTCATGTTCCATTTTTAATCCTCCAACTTTCACCTATTTAATAAGATACGCAGCTGTAGGCGCCCAAGCATCGCTTCATGTTATCAATGTTTGAGACTTATCAGATTCTGGTGGGCTTGTATGAGTTCCGCTTGCACGAATACTTAATTCAATATGATTTTCGTTACAATCGACTTGGGGATTCGCAGCTTTTGAATCATTTTCTACAGCCGCAGATTGATCGTCCCAAGGCTGCCTTTCAGTCGATCCAAACACTTGGAAAACTACAGCTCCTATTAACCAAATGGCCGCTGTTAAGGAGAAAAGAGTTTTCCACTGATCTGGGTCAGTGGGATCTGTAACGATGGCGCCATGTACTAAAGGTGCAGCGATGGCACCACAATTAGCAATGGTATTCATACCGGCCATGAGAAGTCCAGCGTAATTCGTCGAAAGATCTAAATGATTGGCATGGTGACCACTGTATATCGTAATATTTGTTGTTATTCCGATGTACAATAGAAATATCGCGAAAACTGAATTTTCAGAGTTAGTGTAGCCGAGAACTAATATGCACAGTGCAGGCACGACCATCCCAAAACCATTCCACAACATACGTGATGACCTCGTGGTTAAAGTTCCGTTCTTCACAAGCATGTGATTGAGCCAAATCACCAGCATATTAAATGCAAACGCGGTAAAATACGGTAAGCCTGAATGAGTGCCGATCTATAGAATGAAAAGGAAAAAAACATAATGAAATAAAAAATTCCTTTAAATTTAAAATTATGCAAAATGTTTAAATAATATATTACTCACGGTCGTCAAATCCATTTTCAATATTTTATCCAAGTATTCCGGACTCTTGGTTGCCAGCATCCAAAAACAAAATGTCTGAGAGCATTGAGCTACAAGAAGAGCATATACTGGACCAGACGATAGTACGGATTTCCAGGGAAAAGGTCCAGGCGCTTTTTCTTCGTGATTTCGCGAATTCATTATGTAATTTTTTTCTTCGACAGATATCGACGAATGACGGTTGGGGCTTTCACGTCCATAGAACATCCAACCAATTGCCCACAAAAGGGTGATTCCTCCCCATAATTCAAAACAATACTCCCACCCCTTTGGGTCAATTGAAGAAATAAGTCCGGTGGAGAAGAAGGAACAAACATTTCCGAACCAGCCCGCGCCGTACACTATTGAAACTAAAATAAAAGAGTTTTTCATTAACAACATTCTGATTTACAGCCAAAAAATGAAGGTTTATGAATTTATTGTGAGGAATGAACAATATATATGGGCTAAGCCATAATTAGCGTGATGGTCAAAACAATTTTTTTTCTCAAATTATGTACTTTTGAAGAGTACATTGAAAAGTGAAAATCCTGAAAGTTTCAGCCCTCTAGGTCCAATCCTATTGGATTTTCAGGGTCTTGAAGTTGAATTTTCTTTTTTTGCTGATATTTTGCTTACAATTCTGATTTTCTTGGGTAAATATGAAAAAATTGTTGAATCATGGGTTTTAATGTAAAATTTGATGTAGAATTCAAATTTGTACTTAAAAATCATATTAAGAAGTGGAGTCCCCATAAAAATGATATTTTCATGTCCTAATCATATTACTGTACTAAAAAAAATGTGTTCGTATCCTTCGATTAGACCCATATTGTAATATGTTCATCGATACACCAAAATACAACTTTTGATAAATTTTGGTTATCGGCAGACAAACAGAATTCATTATTGAGCTTAATATGAGTGAAAAATCAAAAAAAAGTGAAAAATTAGAGAAAAACCATGTTTCTTGACTCTTGACCATGACTTGACAGAATTGCAAGCAAAATATCAGCAAAAAAAGAAAATTCAACTTCAAGACCCTGAAAATCCAATAGGGTTGGACCTAGAGGGCTGAAACTTTCAGGATTTTCACTTTTCAATGTACTCTTCAAAAGTACATAATTTGAGAAAAAAAATTTTTTTGACCATCACGCTAATTATGGCTTAGCCCATATAAAAATCGGAGAAAATGGTAACAAGACTTGTAAGTGTTAATGGGTTGCTCTGTGTGAATTGTAGACTGAAAAATATTTATTGTATATTTACCGAATGTTGATCTTTCTTTTTCTGCAGCCCAATTGGAAAGGAAGGTATGCAACGTAGGCATCACAACTCCTTGGCATAGTCCACTTACAATCCTACATCCGCACACCCACCACACTCCTTGAGATGCCACAAACGGAATTAACATAGTGCAGACACCGCATAAGGCCACGCACAGTCCAAAAAAGAATTGACCGAACCTTTTTCGAGCAATCATTCCTCCAGGTATTTGAGTCATTACGTACCCCATGAAAAAGGTACTCAATACTAAATTTTCCTCTTTCGCGCTCCAATCGTATCTTGGGTTAGCAGATTCGCTTGTCATGGCCACAATTGTTACGTTCATTACTACTCGCATGGCGTAACATAAAAAGAAACTGGCCGCAAGCAGAAATACCTGGTTATACCGTTTTCCGAAGCCTAAAAAATGAAAATATATTAATTATTGTCCAATTATTTTCAAAACATCTGAGAAGAGGATTATATATTCACTAAAGGATTATAATAGGATTATATATTCAATAAAAGATTATAAGGAAGAATTGTATATTCATTAAAATCGAGCTGAATTGAATAAATAAATCTCGAAAGTCAAAAAATACCAATGAATACCAATGAACGGTACAGTACTATTCTTTATTTGAAAAATCAGGACGATTACAAATAGAACCCTGGATGGATATATTTTTAAAAAACACAGTTTTCATTAAGAAATCCGATTTTCCAAAAAGGACCCATCGAAAAAATAGAATCTAAAAGTATTTTACTATGACATGATTTTTAGGTCTTAAGTTATATCAATTGAAACAAATCTGATAAGCACCGCAGAACCGCACCCGGTGATTATTATCTCGAAAAGAAGAAATGGATATAATAGGAGTCACAAGTCACATCGCGAGGCTGTGAAAAGGAGTTCAAAAATTCCATAAAAATTCTCTGAGATACTTTGATAGTCGTGATCACCTCTGATCATATTTATATCGTGATTTCTTAACGGTAACATAGCGAAAAAAAAGCGAAAACTTGATTTTTTGCAAAAATTTTTACGTTTTTTTTCGTATAAGTAGCCATAACTTTTTTATTACGCAAAGAATCGAACTTTTGAACTCAGTTTCTGAAAGGGCATTAAATTTTACATCGAAATAGGTCCATACGAAACTTTTTGGAGGCCTAAAACTACAAAAAAAATCGCTGCGAAAACCAACAAAAAAATCGAGCATTTTGGTCGTTAATGGGTCAAGTTAGTGATTTGAAAATTAAATATAGCAAAATAATGAAAATTTTGGCAAGCACACTCACGATAAAATAATCTTAAGAAATAACAAATTTTAGCGAATAAAACCTAGATATTTTTATGATATTGCGGTATTTGATTCCGTCAAGTTAAAAATTTTGCAATTCGTGCGTGTGGATGACTGAATTTATAATTTGGCTTTTGGCAATTGCACATAAATAAACAAATATTAATTTCTACTTCCACTCTTTTTTTTATTTTTTGCTGTAGATACATCCAGGCTTAAAGTAATGATATCCGAATGATATCCAAAATGATAATATTCAGGATAAAATTTGGGACTCCATAAAAAAAATTTATACATATAATATTTTGATTTTCATTTAACCCTTTAACACCCGAAATGACCATTTTTGGACAACATTTGGAGCGATGAATTACACCGATTAAAAATTGTTTAAAAAAATTTTCAGACATCATTTCTTTCGTAAAATTTAATGTACTTTTCGAATCTGGGGTCAGAATTTTCAAAAATTTATTTAATAAAAAGTTATAAACAATTTTGTAAAAAATAACATGAAATTTCGAAAAAAAACCTCGTTTAACTCAAATTTCAATGCAGAAAGAAGGTTCGCTCGTGCGTCTCAACGCACGCAAATGAATTTGGTCAATGGCATGTATACTTTATTGTAAAATAGTAATAATTACGAAATTCAAGATGGCGATCATAAATTTGACTCCCGAAGACCTGTATGTCATAAAATGATTTCTACCATTTTTAACTCGATAACCATCATTTTTACGAGAAAAAGTTGTTGAATAAAAAGTGTTTAGAATTGATGAAAAAACATGCTTGATTTCTTTCAGAATTTTTTACAAAATGTTATTTTTTACAAAACTGTTTATAACTTTTTATTAAATAAATTTTTGAAAATTCTGACCCCAGATTCGAAAAGTGCATTAAATTTTACGATAGAAATGATGTCTGAAAATTTTTTTAAACAATTTTTAATCGGTGTAATTCATCGCTCCAAATGTTGTCCAAAAATGGTCATTTCGGGCGTTAAAGGGTTAAATAAAAATTAAAATATTATATGTATAAATTTTTTTTATGGAGTCCCACATTTTATCCTGAATGATATCCGAAATGATATCATTACTTTAAACCGGGATTATTCAAGGGAATGCGAAGTCAAACACCAGCAAAAAATTAGTTGAATTCGAGCAAATATGATTTCGCTTCACTATAATGAATAGTAAAGACAATATAGATTCGCCAAATCGAGAAGCACCCTTATTGATAACAAATTTTCCCAAAATACAAGTAGTGTACGTAAAGTTAGAGAGTGACTGGAAGAGAATTTTGTTCAATCAAGCGAAACAAACTTAGAAATATAGTTGGGCTTATATTCATTAAGTCATTATAGTGTAACATTTAATGAGACATTCGATATAACACTTGGTGTAAATGATAAAATGACTTATCTGTTTGATCATAATGAAGGTTTTACAGGTAACAAAATAAGTGATGCTTGAAAATTATAATTTTTGTCACATAGTGAAAGAAAAATTTTTTCGACCAGTTGTTGTGAAAAGAAATTATTTTACTGCCATTGAAGTTACAGACTTTTTTCTTTGCGCTTTTAAATGAAAAAGTTGTTGTATAAAAATCTGTGGTATTACAGCGCTAATAAATAATTCTATCTTATATGCTTCTATTAATGAGTCTTCGTAGTTTATCTTTTACAAGACTTGAGATTATGCTAGGCAAATATAAAAATCATTTCATTGTTTTACTCAATTGGCATTTAAAAAATATGGAACTGATAAATATAGTTCGAAGTTATCGTTATCGTAATATCTATATCTATTAAATACAATTTATAACCTGGTCAAATGAACTATATTTTTCTTCATAAAATGTTCGAAATCACGTTTAACTATGAGAAATAACTTTTAATGATTCAATAATATATTATATTAATTATTTTTTACAAATGAGAGAGCTTTGAGTTTTTATTTTCAGCAGATAGTTTTGATTTTTGGATTCCGAATGAATTTTTATAATGATTAAAAAAGACTAACCTTTTGGTTTTGGGAATTCCTCCACTTCCGGAATATTTTCGACGTCTGATTCTCTTCTTGTAGGTCCCATCTTGTAGTTCAAAAAAGTCACTTGTTGTTCAAAAAAGTATCACTAGTAATTTGATGTCTATGTGTTCTAGACTCAACAGATATCTGATCTAAATTGACTTGAAATACTTCAATCCGATGATTTTATAGTTCAGCCATAGACCCCCCTCTACCATTACTATTTTTGAATGGTAAGTTTAAGATGATAAGTTTTTATCTATGTCGTTACCTGTAATAAATCGAAATTATCCACGAAAGTGTCGATTACATAAAAATGTCAAATCATCATCAGCCGAACGAATTTAAATCAGTAATTAGCTTTTAGTTAGAATGACATACTCTCATAAAAGATTAAATTAGAAGATATAATACCTAATACACGTGTCGAGAAAGTTTGACGATAATTGAAAACAGCACAGACACGTTTCTCAAGTTAACGTAATCGAAAATTGTCATCTATAAACGGTAAATAGTTTGATTACTGATGATTTGTTTCAATAATTTGTATGCACGACATTCGCATTGAAACAAATAAACAGTAAAAAGTTACGATTGCCAAATACTTTACATTTTGATTGACCCAAATAATTTTTCAAAATTCATTGTCTAAAGCCATAATCATAGATCATTGCCTTAACCCACCTGTCGCTCAGAATAAAGGAATGTCGCTTTGCTTCAAAATGCAAAATTTTGTAATGTTCCGGGCCTTGTAAAATTTTTACAAATTGAAGAGCGCTCTCTCTGTCAAGTATGGCAGAGAGAACTGCGGCCTTACGCTACTCATATACGCATCATTGGCCTTTTTCGCTACTCGCGAAAACTCTTCTTCACTTTTAATTGAATTTGATAACACATAATTTCACATAAACTTTAATGCCCTTTTAGGATCCGAGCTCAGATATGAGATTTAATCAATGTGTAAGTAAAAATTTATCGATGATTGAGCAAATAAAAGGGGCAAAAATTTTTGCGAAACATCGCTTTTCGCCATTTATAAAAAAGTCAAGGTTAAAACCTCACGATCTATATAAGATCAGGGGGAACATATATGTGCAAAAGCATTGAAGGGAATTTCCATAGAATTTTTAAACCACATTTTTCAAAAAAATAACGGTGCTGAAGTAAAATTTTTACAAAAGACCAAACTGCATTTGTATCTTGAAAATCATTGGGTTTATGAAAATATTTTTACATTTCGTGATTTAGTAAACTCACAAATTAATATTAATTTTGTGATATCATTTCTTTAACGTCAAATGTTACCATTAAATTAACTTCGATAACACGATAGTGAAAATGATTTTGATGTAAGGTTTTAATGACATACGGAACGAAATGATATTCAATAAGCTGATATTGAAACCGCACTGATGATGTAATAAAGACATTTTTATCTTTTTTTTTTTAATTTAATGAAAAGACTAATGAGACGTTTAATTTTTTATGATTGACACTAAATTTCAATGCTTACAAACACAAGCACTTGAGGAAGTATCAAACTCATAGATCTCGATCTGGTTGTAGGCATTGATGTTTTGAAGAAGTGTAGGCGACCCTGGTGCTGAAGCTCAATCGGTGCCCTCTGAAAATTACGACAGGCGTCCAAAAACATAACTTGCCAGAAAACGCAAAAGAAGAAAAAATTTATCATGTAAAGTATACGAAAAAGGCTCACAAAAACAGCTGTATCTCAGTGAAAAATCAGAACTTTTAAGTTTTAAAATTGCAATAAAAAGGAGAGGAAAAATACTACTCAACAATTCAATAAAATGCGACCACAAATTTCAGTTAAAAAAAATTAATACATGTGAACAAAAAAATGGATGAAACTCTTTTTAAGTGATTTGCACTTCAAAGAAGCCAAAATATTCCAATAAGTGGGCCAATTTTGAAAGTACAATTTTACATTATTTTTATGATGTTAAAAAATAAACCCGCAAAATACAATAAAGCAGAACACTTTTTATAAGATAAGTGTATTGACAATATTTTGTACAATCCAAATTTTAATTTTTTTTAATTGGCTCCGACTATCGGTTGCATATCTTTACAAATAGCTTATATACCACAAGAATATTTATTTTGCCTTCGCAATGTGCTTATATTCGTATTTATAAGATGCAGCTGGTCAATCGTCGCTACACACAAAATGTGTCTTTTCATCAATAATTCATTCGCTCGCCTCGCCCCTTTTCTCTCTTCTTCGTCGTATTATATTCAAAGTTTCATATTTTCCTCCATTAACCTGTATCTGCTATGTTGTCGCGATTCTCGGTTTTCGCGTCGCTATGCGCTACTTTAATTTTGATACATAACAGCGATTCACCTGCTTCTCGTTCAAGTCTATCCATTATGATATGATAATAAATAAAGAGCGATTTCAGAGGACATACTTTCAAGTCATTTTTCTCTCTCGATAATGTGCTCTCGATGCGCCGCATCCTTCACAAGCGATACATCCGACGGCAGCTACGCAAAAAGGCTTCGCTCGAAGGTATAATATAACGTATCGACGCATAACTATATTTTATGTACTATATAGACAAGAAGAAGCAAACCTTTGGTACATGCATACACATGCATAAGCAGCACACTGACAATCGGTTTACAGTCTGTTCTTCCGGCGTCACGCGTCGCTAAAGTTCAGCGCTGCACACATTATATATAGCGCGCGAACTCTCGAGCGCACACGCACATATGCGTATCCTACCCACGTATAGGTATGCACCACCTGCGCCTGCTCTATATGGCATATAGGTATATTACACATAGGAGAGATAGTAGTGCAAGGAGCGCGTGTCTCGCCTTTGCACACGACTGCGTGCGTATACTTGCGCGACTCTGCTCGAAGGAGATCCTTCAGTCGAGTGCTTCGAGTCTTTGCGATCGCAACTGCAGACGCCTCGCCCTTTTTTACTCCACTTATGTATTTTCTACCCTCCATTGCTGTTGTCTAGCTAAATTTGCGTTGTATATCGCCTATTTCAAACGACGACCCCAGACCTAGTATTTTTTTAAAATACACAAGGCGGGCGAAATATAGTGCGCGCGTGAAATTTCGTCCTAAGCAGTTTATGTAAGAGCTGTATAGTTTTTTTTCAAGTTGTGTGATTTGCGAAGAAATAGCGATCGTTGCCGTTTACTGCTTCTATATCATTGTTATTTGTAGTTTTTTGCCTTTGGTTGCAGATAAGAACGAAGTCAAAATTACAGCTTTTTAGACGTTTAACCCAATTCTTGGTAAGTTTTGCCTATCATCACGTTTACGATACGTCGTTTTGGTAGATGAGTTGCGAATTATAACGTAGCGTACTTTGCACGAAATTGTTTTATTGATTGACAAAACGTGCGTAAATATCTTCATTTTCATTAACTCTTATTGTAGATTATACGCACGTGTGAACATAAAACAGCAGCGTGCAGCGAATCGAGCGAGCGAGCGATCGTACCCATGACTATATTCACAACCGATTCGTCTTTGTATTTATGAATGAGTCCGCCGCGCTGAGTCAATGATCGATTAGCCCCCGAACGAGCTTCTCGAGTGCTCTCGCGAAAGCCTACGGATTGATTATAAAATCAAAGACGATATATATGTGGGGCGCGGCTCGGGTCACACAAAAAAAACTCATCGCGCATTGCTATGTATTATATACATGACACCCTTGCCGGTTTTGTTTCAGAAAATATAATGAATTGTACCGAACGCTGCTCGTGACAATTGCCAACCACACACGAGGCGAGGCTTACTCCAATAAAAGTATAAGGCAATTGAACGGATCGGCCCGAACGAAAGCGCCGAACTCGAATCATCCGGTTCACACGATCGAACTTGGTTCCGCTCGGATAAGAAGAAGAACAACAACTAGAAGAATATACACGCGCCATCCTACAATATATTGAGTATCGACCGAGCCTAAATTTGTGTGCGTGCGTGTATTTTTATAACAGATTAGCTGATAAATATGAGTGGCTGTCATGACGATCATATCTGGACGATGCTGCCGGTAAGTCTTGAGTCATAAAATATTTGAATTTTACCGATTTTAAAGCTGCTTCTGTGTAGCTGTATAAGTAAAGCACGTGTTATTAATGCAATAAATAATGTACATATAATCACTAATTTATACACGTAAAACGAGCTTCGATCCGAGTGTAGCAGTTCGACACATTATAATCAATTTTAACGCTATGACAATGACGGTGTATGGCGCCAGCCGTTCAAATTATTATTATCGTTACTTTTATCTTCCATAACTCTGATGTGTAGATGAGCGCAATCATTCATTTCTTCGATTGGCTCAAATACACCCGATCTCATTGTAACGAAGTTTCGATCGTTACGTATACTTCATTCATCAAACTCTCTCCTACCCACCCCCTCCCTCTCTCTTTCTCTCGTTCTGGAGAGCTCGACGACACGGTTTTAGAAAGTCGACAATGATCAATTTTTCCGGTGTCCGTTTGCGATTGTCATGCTAATGCAGCAGGTCTCGGGCGTGCATTTGCGGCCAGCATTACAACGATCTATTCGCGTTTTCTCAAAGCTCGCGATCGATTGTTTCCATCGCGCTTGAACTTACATAAATATTATCCTATCGATATACTTGAAACGAGCTACTTTGAGCGACTTATCGTTACCGTGATGGTAGCTCGTACTTTTTTTCGATTTTTTGAACTACTCGATGTTAGATTAGTACTCGGCAAGCGATATCGAAACGGAATCGACTTTCGAACGATCAGAAGCGGAAATATCAAAGTGCGCGACTTCTCGAGAACCCAAGTGTCTGGAATTTGGTTATATTGACGTTCAAAATGGCGATAATCGTTGTAGTACTGTAACAAAGGCAAATTATTTTTATAAAGTCGATATCGCAAACATAACGTAATGCACATGCCACGGAGTCGTGCCCGATCTAATTATAAGGTTCTTTACTAAGACTGCTCGTTATTATGTATAGACGATTTTATATGCGAAGGGATCTTGAACGACACCGAGACTCGATTGTACCCGACTCAATC